CTTGTAGATGATTTTAAGGACATTACTCTGTAGTCACTATTCCAGTACATTTCTGAATTGTGTGTTATCATACACAGTGTATCATCTAACATGATTTATAACTTAGATGAAAATGCCAGTTTTCCACACTGAAAGACCTATAAAATATTTAATTCAAACCAGAATCCCCTAAAAGCAAAATCAAAAGGATAGCATTTAAAAATCCAGATTTTTATATTTACAATTATCTTGTACAGTATGTTCTAAAAATGTGGTAAGAAATTAAAAATCTAGAGTGCTTTTTATGAAAGATACATTTGTTATAATATTTAATAGCACTGTATTTGTGTGTGTGTGTGTGTATGTGTGATTAAGGATTAAATCCAGGCCCTCATAGATAGTAGGCAAATGTTCTATTGCTGAGTGCCTCTCCAGTCCTTTTTTTTTTTTTTTTGTTTTTCTCCGGTACCGGGAACTGAACTCACGACCTTGCACATGCCAGGCAGGCGCTTTTGCCGCTGAGCTAAATCCCCAGCCCCTCTCCAGTCCTTTTAAAAACATTATTTTAAGACAAGGTCTGCTAAATTGTTCAGGCTGGCCTTGAATTTGTGATCTTCTTGCTTCAGCCCTGGAGTAGCTGGGATTACAGGCCAGCACCATCGTGTCTGGCTTGCACTGCATTTTACAGATGTCTCATAGTAAAGTAATCCTATAGACTTTATTCTAAAGGTATCAAATGCAGTGCTGTGACATCTGTGAGTATGCCAGCTTCCTAAACTGTATTATTTTGCTCTGATAGTCAAGAAAGAAGTCCAGAGGTCTGAATGCACATTCTTATGAAAATTCTGAACAGGTTTTAATCCACACTTTAGTTTTGTATCTTACCCAATATAGAGATAAAATGTGTCACTTTTACTTTGGGGCTTGTTATTCTGTTTCCCCCTTCCTGTTATGTTTTAAAGCCTAGATGAGATCTTGGCTCTCCACAGGCTGGAGTTTATAATGTTTTATCCCATTCCCACAGCTGGTCAGCTCCCCAACCCACCCCAAACCCATTCCTGCAAGATTCAGCCATTTATTGCTAAGTGACAAACTATTATATTATTTTGCATCTTAAAACATGTGCATGCTATTTCTCAAGATTCTGTGAGATGGCTAGTCTCAGTGGGGAGTTCTGCTGATACTGTCATGAGTCACTTTGGGTATGCATTTAGCAAGTACTCAGCTGAGATGGTTACTCAGCTTTCCGGTGACAATATACGGTATAAGAAATGGTGAGCTAGTACGTATCTGGTACACAGCTTACAAGGAGGAAAGAGTTTCCTTAGGTCACCATTTCAGAGGCTTAGTCCATGGTTGTTTAGCCTGTTGTTTGGGCCTGTTCAGAGGCAACACCTCATGGCAAGAGCACATGGTGGAGAAAGCTATTCACCTCCTGGTAACCTGGAAGCAAAAGAGAGAAAGGAAGTAGCCAGAACACTGATACAATCCTTTCACATCATACCACTAGTGGCCTAATTTCTAACTTCTTCCTTAATTTGTGCAAACTAATTTCTTCCCACTACATTGTAGCTCTTAAAGGTTCCACCAGCTCCCAATAGCACCACAGGCTGGCACTGTTACCTGGGTATTTAGGGAACACTTACTTAAACCATTGTAGGCTACAACATTAAAACAGCTTCACCTACACGTCTAATATCTGACCTGGGATGGCTGGAGTGGTCTGGGGATAGCTGGCACTTCTGCATGTAGTTTCTCATTGTTCGGTAGTCTTGTCGGAGTTTCTATAAATGGTGAGTAGGTACCAAGAGAGTGAAAATGGAAGCTACTAAACCTCTAAGACTTAAACTCAGAAAGAACCTAGCAATGCATCCATGGCATCCTAGTGCTTGAAACAAGTTCTAGGGCCAGCTAATTTTAAAAGGAGGGTATTCAGACATCACCTCTGGAGGGTAAAAGTGGTTTGAATTTACAGGAATGGGAGGAATTGTTGGTTGCCATATTTCCATACAGTCTCCTACTCTCTCTATAGAATAACATGAGAATGGAGTCAATTAAAATCCTGAAGCTTTTCATAACCTTTGTATTTAAAAATCTTTCAATGGCAAATAGTATACATTATAGTATCACATAAAACCCTGCAGCCAATGAAGAGAGAATAAGTATTCTCTTCAAACAAAAGAAATGTACTTTGAAATTAGGCAACGGAGTTTCAATCTTGGCTCTGTCAAGTCCTCCAATAGGATCTTGGGCAACACTCCAGTGAAGTACTTTATTTATTTCCTATGTATTTATAGGATTATTTTGATAATTAAATGAGTGAATATGTGTAAAATCTTAGAAAAATCCCTAAGAACACATGCGCTTTAAAAATAAAAATTGTATGTAACCTATTATTATGCAACATAGTGACAGCTGTTTGGTTATGCCTCCTGGAGCTGTAAAGTCTTCTGAATTATAAGACTTAATCATTAATCCTAATGATTTCTGTTTCTCTCACTTCCTGATGATTAACAGTAGGAACTTTCTTCTCTACTCACTGCTATTAATTTCATTATGTAGTGAAGGTTTGTAAACTATAATTTCTGGTCAGTGGAGAGCAGGAGATCACACAAACTACACATTAGCCACCAGACTTGTTTTAGGTGTGGTGGTATCACAGAACAATAAACGGGACTCCCACAAGGGTAAGTTGGGTTATATAGCTAAAAGCTCTTTCACAAATAGGACTTGACCTCCCTATTTATGAGTCTTCACACATTCCTTCAGTAGGACATAGGCTTGAAGTGGAGACATGTATACAATACACGCTGCGTGTTTTGATGTCATACTAAACAATGTGTTTTCCTGTTTGTTTGGAGCTAGATGGTGCTAGGCTGCAAATCCAGCTCCCTAACTTACTACCTTATATTCATTTTTGAGCAGGTTATTTAAACTCAGTTTTGGATTTTTGATCTGTTAAAGAAATATAAAGAGAGGACGAATGGAGGAGACGGAAAAGGGGGAAAAAGCAACATCAAGCTGTCGTGGATTAACTAATGATGAACTTGGAATGGCCAGCCTAACTGAGTCAGCGTGGTCCTGGTGTGGAAGATCCACCTGAAGACTGTTGCTGAAATGACTTAAAGGAGACTGGGAAGGTCTCAGCTGAAATGCAGTTGATTTTCCTGGAGAACTTGGATGTTCTCCGAAGATGCTCGGGTCTTCACTGTCTTTGAGGATGGCTGCGGTTTTCTTCTGGGGAACTTCTGGCCCTTACCTTGAGCATTGCTTCCTGACTCCAGTGCAGGACCCTCAGCTCACTGACACAGGTACTCCAGACCTCTGGCACAGACTTTCTAGCTCCCACCACTGACTTCTGGGCCTTCCCAGTGCAGATCTTTGATAGGACTTGCATAAGACATTGCTGCAAGCTGTAGGCCTCTGGCTGGACTCCTGCAGGACTTTGCCTTGGGATCCAGGCCCTGGGCTGGATTCTTCAGGTCTGTAACGCGCAGACAGATCTCTCACTCTTCTGCGTTTGACTTTTTGGCTGACTATTACAAAATAATTCTGTAAGTTATGTGTCGTGTACTAAATCTTGCAAACCCTGACTACAACACAAGATATATCACGTACAGGTACACATTCCCCAATGATGAATGTTGTCATGGTGTGTATTTAAAATGTTCCAATAAAATTTAACAGGTACAAAAATACACAAGGAATATCTGCTTTAACTGAGTGGTCAAATCAGAACACAAACATCAAGGCCTACCGAAGTGTTCACACAGAAGCCACCCAATGTATCCATTTGCTTCCTTCCAGAACCAAGGATCAAGTGTTCCAGAGCTGATAGCTATTGTTCAGGTTGTGTATTTTATATTTCTAAAGGAAAGAGATTTGATAGAGTAACTACTGCCAAACTCTACTTTTTAATGCAATTAATTTTTACTACTATGGACTGTCCTAATATTCTGAGACTACTTAATAATTATTCTAGAGCTGGGGATATAGCTCAGCCGCACAAGCGCCTGCAAGGTCCTGAGCTTGATTCCTGGCACCAAAAAAAAAAAAAAAAAAAAAAAGCTTCAGCAATAATTATTCTAGAATATGGATCTGCTTTATGAAATAATTTTGTGTTCTCAGTTTCTGTACTGTAAAATACAAATTAATTTCCCAGTTATCAACACAATTATGGAAAAACGTCCTAAAAGAGGAGGAAAAAATAATCGTTAAACTGCTAAAATTTTAAAGACAAAAATGCTATGCAAGCTGCAAGCGCTCCTTTTCTGCCTGAAGGGTACACACCTTAAATACACACCTTTTCTGCCTCATACAGGTTACCAGAATTGAGTGTAAGGCCGATATTCACGATCAGCTGCCTAGTGTTCAAGGGTCAAGGGCAATGACCTGATGACCTCGGTCGACAGGACCTCCTCCCCAAGGATCTGCAGGACGCGGCTGGTCATTTTCAGACTTCCACCCTTGAGACTTGGAGGGGGCGTGGGCGTCGGCGTGGGCGGGAGGAGGCCGCGCCAGGCTCCCTCCCCCGGGGTGACCCTCCCAGTAGTGCGCGACTGCGGCCGGCGGCGCCGCTCCACGTGGCAGGTCCCCATTGAGCGAGGCGGGCGGGGCTCCCGGCCT